TTATTAAAAAATAGAAATCTAAAAAAAAAAAAATTAACAAATGTGTTGATGTCATCATGATGTGTGATGACATCACCTATCCAACCGACGGTCCAACCAGTTGGACCAATTGAACCGTGACCCGACCAGTAGAGCGGGTTGCCTGCCAGTCCGGTTTTTAAAACAATGGCGACGACACCCTAGATGCAAACTCAATCGTCCCTTAAGCCAATTTCCATCAAAATATACCCAAGATCTGGCCGAAATAGGTTCGATTTCGGCCAGATCTCACCAACGTCGACGTTGGCATTCCAAGCCAGATCCCATCGATTCCGGCAACAACAACCCTTCCCATCACCCCAGAATTACTCCCCTTTTCTTCCCGACCAAAACCCCCCTCACCCCACCCCCGTTAGCCTCGTAAATCGCCGAAAAAATCTCATCGCTGTCGCTGCCAGTTTTGTTCGATTTTCGGTCGATTTACTCACTGGAAATCAGATCTTTCACCACCATTACATTCACCGGAAATAGCTCTTCAAAAGCCCCAACATTTCGACAGTTAATTGTTCGCCGATCATCACCGGAAATCCTAAGGTATTAGGTGAATAGGAAAAAATTAAATCCGGCCCGTTGAAGCTTCTAGGTCCCGGTTCAACCGATTTAACCGACCAGGCCGGACCGGGTTTTAAAACATTGATCCACGAATGACAATAAACAAGACATCATTGCCCAGAGTAATTTGCCGTGTGAAAATGAATACAGCTCAACTTGCCAGTAAAACATGGAAAACCAAACACTGATGGAAATAGTCAGAAAAATAGTATAAATGATTTTTCATAGCGAAAACTTTCCACGTATACCCCTCCACCCAAGTCAATCAACCTTGCAATGTCATCTTTCATGGTTATACTACCATTCTCTAACCTGTTACATAATGTTAACCCACAAAACTATCTAAACAATTCACCAAAAGTACAACCCAAAAAAGGAGAAACTTCAAACAGTTGAGAGATTCAGATATAATAAATGGAGAGAATTTTACTGGCTTGTCTACGTGTTTCTTCTCCAGAAATTCCAAATCTGGCAGCACATGCATACAATTTATACAACAGTAAGTCCAAAAATTGAGCACGACCACTTTTCCTTTCAAACTCTACACAAAAGTTGAAGCAGCTATAAAAACAAGCAAATTTTCTGTATTTGACTCAATTAGATATGCAAAAGAATCATTGTCCTCACATAAATCTCATTATCATATTAGGATACATAGTTTGAATAACATGCAACCACTTTGGCTCTAAGCAAATTTAAGGGGAAGAAGTCATATGTTTGACAACCTATAAAATCAGTTATAATTCTTTGGAAGGATAATGAAATTCTGTGAATTTAAGTTAAATCATTTACCCAGCGAAACTGAAGGGGAGTTGTGTTCAACCAATCAAGTTTCGTTGGAAATTCCGGTACAATGGGAGTACCTTTCCTAAATCAACAAAGAAAATAACATTTTAAACAGATTAAGCATCAAGACACTCACCAAAAAAAAAAAAAAGTTATTTGCAAAATGGCTTAACAAATCAAAGAGAAATTTAATATAACTTATTATATAAGGTAAAAAGCTAGTTTTTACCTGTTTTCAACATTAGAAACATAGTTCACAAATTGTTGGACTCGTGCTGATCGTGATGAGTCTCCTTCAATGATTCAAAGGAAGTAGATTAACATCCTATATTATGTTAAATTGCATTATCTATTTATACACAATACAATCAAAACCATAAGGAACATGGCAATACCGTCATTTGGTTCAAATAATGGCCAGTTGACTCCAAATAATTCATTCCAGATAGCTTTAGGAGATGCATATTGCATTGCCTGTGAAAGCACATTAGTTTTATATTTACTAAAATGACANCTACTTTTTACTCGACTAGTCAGATTCATGTTCTAAAGTCTGTAATATCAGCCATAAATCATTTAACCCCTAAATACTTCATTCATAGCCACCAAATTTTCTTCGAAAATGGAAACAGGGTTTTAGCAGTACTACACTACAGACTACACCTCAACAATTCGCTTAATTAGTTTCTATGGGATGGAAAGATTATGAATATTTTTCCATTCATTTTATAAGTTTACTACGAATGGATTAAAGGAGAGAAAAATGCTCTCTATTAATTACTAGGTTTACGCTTATATGACGACCGAAATGGAGAAGTTGAAAATCATTCTCCTCCATGAACATGATAGAGTCTTTAAGTTACCACATATATATATGGTAAAATAAAGACCAGTTTGGATATATAACACTGGTTGATTAATGTATCATTGAGTATTGAGTTAACTTACCAGAACCAACATATCTTAATCTAATTGGTCCAAAGATCAACCCCTTACGAAAGCTTAATGAAAACAAAACAGAATATTTTAACACAAGGGAACGTTATGTTGTTGTCATGTTGTGTGTCTGGAAGATAATCATTTGAGTTGAGACCAATGAAGAAGAGTTGGCGGTTTGTGACAACAAAGTCGTCGGAGGATTGCAGTAATTATAATCCAGTTTTCATCTTTATGCTAGATAATGCACTAATTTAAACCAACTGAGAAGAAGTGAGGAAAGCTTATTAACACTGAAAGTGACGTGCACTTTAGGAAATGAAATCGACTCTTCTGTAAATAATTGAATGTCGGTACAGTCTTAAAACACCTCTACAACTTAACAAGACCGAAAAAGATAATAGAAGACAATGATGTATCTGTTTTGTTTTTTTTAAGGTTTTCAGTGGGGGTGTATGTATGTGAGTTTTCATCTACAATGTACGTTTATTATTTTTGTTTTCTTTTAAGATAAACAAAAATATCTTCTGGAACCGACTAACCGCCTCCGTCATCTCTGCAATTCTTGCGTTATTTATGGACAATGACATTGAAATATCACTCAATAATATCTTCCTTCTGTTTCATCATTCTAATTCTTATTCATAGTTTCATACAAGATACTATGAAAAATAAAGCAATCAACCGAGGTTGCACGCACTGTTTTAAAACCCGGACTAGTCAGATCGGGACCCGACAATTTCTCTCGTTTGTTTCAAGTTTTAGGGTTTTTTTTGTAATATTTCAAATTTATAGAGACTACTTTGTACGATTCTAGGGGTGTTTTGGAGATATGTCAAAAAATTTAGATATTAATTGGTGATTTTTGGGGTATTTTTTAAATAAATAAAAATTTTAGGGATTAATTTGAAAAATTTAGAGGTATTTTTGTAATATAAAAATTTTAAGGGATTACATAAATTTTTTAAAAATAAAATTATTGCAGATGTCAATGGTCTAACCGGTTGAACCGATCGACCCGTGATTGGGTCACTTTATCGGGTCTCACAACGAGTCAGGTTTTAAAATAATGGTTACACGAGGCTTTAATGCATTTAATTTCAAGCCAATGTAAATTAGCTTCTCCCATTAAGTGACATTTATTATCCCACCTCGAATGAATAAGATCAAATTTTGATATCACACCAACTACACTTCTAGCAACTTGAATGTAGATCAAAGTAGAACAAAACTTAAAAGTATTGTTTTAAAACTCGGCCCATTGTGAGACCCGATAAAGTGATCGGATCATGGGTCGACCAGTTCAATCGATTGGATCGGTGACGTCAACAATAATTTTATTTTTAATAAGTATAATTAATCACTTAAATTTTAGTATATTACACAAATACCCCTAAAATTTTCAAAGTAGTCCCTAAAATTTTTATTTATTTCAAAAATGCGTCCGAAAAATTACAATTAATCCCTAAATTTTTTATATATCTGCAAAACACCCTTAGAAAATTCAATTAGTCTTTATAAATTTGAAATATTACAAAAAACCCCTAAAACGAACTGGACCAGAGAAGCTTCCCGGTCTCAATCCGACCGATCCAATCCGGGTTTTAAAATAGTGCTTAAAAGATGGTGATACTCTAAATTCAGGAAGAATTAGGTTTGAAAAATTTCCAAATCATCCATCTCATCTACGAGTACAATTATGCACGTGAATTGCATATAACTATTACATACTCTAACTGCGTTTAGTCGTCAATAATGACCAAAGATATGATCGTCGTTGACGACTAGCTACGACCAAAGATCTGTCCTTTTCCGGCTAGATCCACCGTGAATCTGGTCAGAAAAAGCTATATCAGCACACTATTGGCCAGATCCAGCCAGTAGTATACCATTATACCAGATTTAGAACATCTTCCAGCAATAGTGGCCAGAATCTAGCAAATATGGGTGAAAGAGAGTGTTTTTATCGATTTCTAAACTTTTTTTGGGAGATGTTTATTAAATTAACAAACTTAGGAGGTTTAAAAAAATTGAATAAAATATAATAGTATCTTCATAATAGGGAACAAATGTGGATTTTGAAAATGATAGGAATAAGATAGGGCAAAAATGGGAAAACAAACGCACCCTTTAGATTTTTTTTTTCAATAAGCCTTGTGCAAGTACAAAATGTCCTCACAACTCTATAAAAAAAAAATTAAGCTCAACTGAACTCCACGAGAATTCATGATTGTAATAAGTACATTTTTACACACAAAATGGTAATGCAGTTGGCATAAAGTGAAATACGGGGTGCAACGACTCAACTGAACTCCACGAGAATTCATGATCAAAGTAAAACAATGAGTTTTGTACACAAAAAAGGAAAAGACCGTCCTCTGGAAACTTTTAAGCTCTGAAACCATTGTTCAAAAAACACTTGAGTTGGGCAACATCCACAAAGGCATCACATAATGGTGCAACGACTCCTTTCTTCTGATTGTTGTGGGGCCACTGGCTGGAACCTGTGTGACTCAGATGGGTTGTATGTGAACTCAGAAGTATCGAGCCCATACTGGTTTAAACGCATTATAAACCAGAAAACAGTATCAGGACTAGAACTCAGTATGAATTATAAATAAACAAACATATATTCATCCAATCTCAGTGCTATGATGGTTATTAAAAGATAGAAAACTATGATGGTACTACATGATAATGGGCCCTATATGGCTCCTAATATAAGGTATCTCAGAGGTCAGAAATAATAACTGGGACAAATTGTCATATATTACACTAATCAAGTTGATGAGTGCATAAGTATTAGACCATAAAATCCTAACATCATGAAATACTCAAGAATGAGATGGAGCATCAACAGTAGTCTCTAAATTCTACTTGATTATAAGATGGGCTCAGTGTTCTCTTTGTACATACAGTAACCACATGAATCAATTGCAAGATTAGGGATTTAACTGGATGAGTGATCAGAAATCTAAAGATATATTTTCCCTACAATATCAGAATAAGAAAAGATTGTAGGGTAAGCAAGGCAGGTTTAAAATGCAAAATAAATTGTTTGGGTCAATTCAAGCATTTCAGATAGTTCCAAAATTTAGACGCTTCCTGAGAATCTAGATCCAATGTTTTGACAATATATTAAAGAGGCAGTACAGTGCAACAAAATACTATTCATAATTAGCAGATAAAGCACCCATGTTCTCAGCATTTAAAAAGTATATATTTCTAGGAAAAAAATATCGCACCTTTTCCCTCATGCGTGTGCTCCAAGCATCATTTCTACTTGGACGCTGATCAAGAGCTCCAGCTACAGGCACACCTGTTGCAGGAGCTGGTGGCCTGTTGAGCAAGGGCTGCCTTATTTGTTGCCTTGGGGCAATGAGCTCATCATCACTATCATACTCTACAGGTCTGTTTGCTGCCCTAACCACAAGAGCTAACAGGAAAATAAGAGCCTGCAAGTTCACAGTTGCTTCATTATTTAAGGGCTGCTATGGGGTAGCATTAGTAATAAACAATTCTATCAATTTGAAAGTTCAAAATCGCACACAAGCAAGGAATAACTTTGATGCCATTTCAAGAAGTGTAATAAATTTCACATATTTTATGAAGCATCATGTTCATGTTCAGGGAATTCATAATTATTAAAAATGAAAAAAAATGGAGCTTATCTATAAAGAGAAGCCATTAAAAAAAAAAATTATTCTTTTCTGATTTTTCTATCTTTGCTAAGCAAATTTAAACATAAGATCTACCTCAACCCCAAACCTAATCCACTTATTGTAAAAGTTCACAGATGAAGAGTTGCTCGTCCATCAGTATACTAACCATTTCAGGGTGAGGATGAGTGAGATCATGCATGTGGTAATATTTATCCTCAATAAAGCAAATGACTTCATATTACACATACCTCTAAAACAACAATTCCAAGAGCAACCCATTTCACAATAGTCCAGTGCCCTTTCAGAAAATCATATATCATGTCAAAATAACCAGTTTTGTCTGTTGGAATCTCCTGAAAAGAAAAATGTTTCACTTATTAGTTAATCAGGTGTATAATCCTGAATGTCAACAATTCAGTTGAGCATACTCACGTCTTTCCAGGATTTGTCAAAGAATAAGAAGGCTGCACAGCCCAGTTCAACTAAAATCAACAAGATTACCAATATTGAATACTATGTTTGCTTAAGGAAACCAATAATAACCAACAAAGAAACATGGAGGGGAACATGAAAAAAGAGCATAAAAATTAGATATTATCAACCATTTGAATTATTAAAATGAAAATATGTCAAGATGCATGAAAAGTACAACATCAGTACCACATGAAAGAGTTATCTCTTAGAAATCATACTCATAACATTAGTCCCAATAAGTACTATAAACCAATTAGGATACACAAGTCAGGCAGCATCCACTCCGTGTTGTAACTCCAACACAACCAAAACAAGAGATGACAAAGAGAACCACTCCTACGCCAATAAATAAGTATATGAACCTGCAAAGAGATATGGTGCAACAATTAGAATTGAGCAAA